TCAGACATATACTAGTTATTGCAAATAAGGGAAACCATGGGACCTATGTTTCTTTGGGCCTGTCTTACTTCACTTAATATAATTTTTTCCAAGTCTTTTGGAAAGCCAATTTTATGTACTTAAGTTCCTTGTTACCATAGTGCCAAGATATATATGTGGACATATATATATATATATATATATATACAAAACATATATTATGTATATTGTGAAGTCTTTTCCATAGCCAACAACTATAGCATATTAGTTATGTATTTCATGGAGACCTAACATCATTTATTTACTTGAAAACAGAACATGCTTTCCCAGGAAAAACAAAAACATGATTTTCCAGGTTTTAATGCAGTGATCTGTGACCTACTAATAATCTGTTGTTCATTTCAGTACTAGTAACTGTGTTTCCTTTCTCTGCAAAAGTATGTAACAGAGAATAAATTTTCACAGGTGCTTCTGTTTTATGTGGTTAAGAATAAAACCCCAAGGAAGATGGGTTCCTGATAAGAAAACAGGAGTGTTTATTTCAGCTCTTATTTGTAATTCTTGATTCTTTTTCATTATTTTAGTCCTTTTTTCACTTTGGCATTATGATTAATACTCCTTCAACCTAACTTATAAATTTGAGACTACAGATGTTGATAGAGGAGGAAAGAAAAAAACAAAACTAAGTATTTGTTGAGAGTTTGCCATGTCTCAGCCCTTTTGCTAGATTTCTTTATGTACATTAGGACTGTACAACTTAATGCATAAAAACCTGAACACTTTACATATAAAACCAAGTAGTCCAAACCCAATCCAGTTTAAGAAAGCTCCTATTAGATTTTAGTTTTCCCTCAAAAAATGAAAGCTTAAACAATTTTAAACTTATGAGTAGTTATAGTACAAATCTATTTCCTGATTATACTGTAGATGGCTTTTTTTTTTTTTGTCAGTCATGGGGCTTGAACTCTGGGCCTGGGCACTATTCCTCAGCTCTTCAGCTCTGTACCACTGTACCACTTGAGCCACAACGCCACTTCCAGTTTTCTGAGTGGTTTATTGGAGATGAAGTCTCACAGAGTTTCCTACCCAAGCTGGCTTTGAACCGCAGTTCTCAGATCTCAGCCTCCTGAGTAGCTAGGATTACAGGCATGATCATATCAGCGTAAATCTATATCAAATTGTCAGTCTGCTTTTAAATATCAAATATTGCCATGATCCATTACTATACTTACCTTGAGAATCTCTTTTATAAAAAAAAGTCATTGACTTTTATATCAAAATAATTGAATATTTTTTCAACATTAGTAAAAAGGATTTTTTTCTGATGTATGCTGGTACTGGAGCTTGAACTCAGGGACCATGTGCTATCTAAAGACCAGCTCTTTTCACTCAGTGTTAGTGCTCTACTACATGAGCCACAGCTCCACATCTGGCTTTTTGCTGGTTAGAGATAAGAATGTCAAGGATGACACTCTTGATGCTTGATCTGGCTTTGAATCCTCAGATCTCAACCTCCTGAGAAGCTAGGACTTCAGGTATGAGCCACTGGCATCCAGCTAAAAAGGATATATTTTTACCATTGAAATAATTGTTTAAAAAATCATTATGTTTTTAATGACAAGGGTATCTTTTTTTCTAAAGTAGCTTTTTGCTGATGCATAGATAGCTTTTAGGATGAGGGAAGGTCACCAAAAGACTAAGCCTTAATTTGGAATCTTAGAACTTTTAGCCTTATCCTTCAGTCTCCCAGGAGCTAACACTAGTGGCCAATGATTTACTCAAGCATACCTGGGTAATAAACCCTTCATAAAAACACTAAATAACAGGAGTTAGGGAACTTCTAGATTGGTGAATACATAGAGGTGTTGGGAGGGTGGTTTGCCTATAGAAGACATGGAAGTTCCTTGTTTTACAGGTCTCTTCTATTCTGTTATTCTAAGTTTTACCCATTATAACAAGCTGGTAGTAGCAAGTAAAGTATTTTGCTGAGTTTTGTGAGTCATTGTAGTAATTCTCCTTGGGAAGGTAGCTGTTGTGGACACTGTTGTAGTCAAGTAAGAAGTGTAGGTAACCCAATACCTGATACTGAGACCTGGTATCTGAGGTTTGGGCCACCTTGTGAGACTGAGCCTTATATTTATTGGGCCTAATGCTAACTCTTGGTAGTTAGGATTGAATTGAGTTACAGAACAGTGTATTAGTCAACTCACTGTTACTATAACCAATGTCCATAGCAATAAGTTATAAAGAGAAAAGATTTATTTTCACTCCAGTAAAAGTTCCCAATGAATTAAAGAATTAAAGTTCAGAGCAGAATTTTTTTTCATACAGCAATTAAACTCTTGACCTAATTAATGTCATCCTCTGATTATTATCAAATCAATGTAGACAAAAATCTCTAATAAGCACTTTACTACTCCTAGAAATTTAAAGGACATGGGCTACAAAAGATGTTCATGCTAAATAATAATCAGTAAGACACCAATAAAAATAGTGCAGTTTTAATCACCAGAGCAGGAAATTTTAAATGATAATATTCAATGTTGGCAAGGATGTGGAGTAGAGAACAAGTACTACTCTAGGTACCCACATACTTTAAAAAATTATTTTATTGTAAAGATGCTGTACAGAGGGGTTATAGTTACATGAGTAAGCTAATGAGTACATTTTTTGTCAGGCATTATTACCCCCTCCTTTGTTTTTCTCCTGCTGTCCCTTCCCTCTCCCACTTCCCCCACTCTTTCCCTGCCTCCAAAGTTGTAAAGTTCATTTCCATCATAATGTCTTGTGGGTCTCATTGTTGCAATGGGATATTCCCCTTCTGCCCCCCAAAATAGATAAATGTATATACAAGATTCAGGGTACCAAAATCAAATACAGTGAAGACGGGATATATCACAGGGGGAAGAACATACAAAAGAAACAAGAAAATCACATAGTAAAGTAAAAACAAAACAAAGAAAACCCTCTTGTCACAAATAAAATAAAAAAAGAAAACCCTCTTGTGTCCATATCTTAGGGTTCATTTCACTTTGCATCTTCTTATATGGTACATTGCTTTTGAGCTTTTCTACTCATCTGACAAGATTATCCTAATGTATACTAATTATTGCAAATAAAGGAAACCATGGGACCTATATTTCTTTGGGTCTGGCTTACTTCACTTAATATGATTTTATCCAAGTCTTCCTATTTCCTAACAAATGGCGCAGAGTTGTTCTTTCTGATGGAAGCATAGAATTCCATTGTATATATACCACATTTTCTTGATCCATATCTACTGAGGAACATTTGGGTTGGTTCCATAGCTTAGATATGGTGAATAATGCTGCAAAAAAACATAGTTGTGCTGGTAGCTTTAGTATGGCCATGTTTGTGATCATTTGGGTAAATGCACAGAAGAGGGATTGCTGGGTTATAGGGGAGCTCTATGTGGAGTCTTTGGAGGAGGAACCTCCATACTACTTTCCAAAGTGAACAAGTTTACACTCCCACAAACAATGCAGTAAGGTTCCCTTCTGTCCACATCCCCTCCAGCATCTGTTGTTACTAGATTTCTTGATTATAGCCATTCTAACTGGGGTGAGGTGGAATCACAATGTTGTTTTGAGTTGCATTTCTTTTATGGCTAAAGAGGTTGAGCATTTCTTCATGTGACTATTGGCCATTCTTATTTTCTCTTCAGTGAAGTCTCTCTTTTAAGTCTTTTAGCCCACTTATTAATAGGGTGGTTGTTTCTTTGAGGATTTTTTATTGGGGGATTTAATTTTTTTAGTTCTAAGTATAGTTTAGATATGAGACCCTTGTCTGTTATATGGCTAGTGAAGGTCTTCTCCCAATCCGTGGGCTTTCTGTTGATCTTGATAGCTATGTCCTTTGCTGTGATGAAGCTTTACTTGATGGTAGTATGAAAGCATGCCTTTGAAAGGGCATGCTGTACTTTAAAATGTGTGCATACCCTTCTACTTAGTCATTTTGCTTCTGAATAGCAATTCTGTAAAAGTATTTGCACACACTTACATAAAGAAATTATAGGAGTAATGATAGTGGATGTATTGAGTTTTCAAGTTGTAACTACAAGACATTATCTTGTGGAGAAAAAGTCTAATATAAATGATAATATTTTAAGTGATAAAACGAAGATTTTATTAAATAAATCTAAGTATTTGAAATATTCCACAAAAAATGTTCCCCATCCCTAAATTATATAGGATAACTTATAAGTAATAATGATAATAATACTAATAACAGCTTATATTTATGAGTATTTGCTATGTGCAGGGCAATTGGTAAACTATTACACATGCAAAATCTCATAGTCTTCACAACTGGAAATTGAGGTACCAAGTGGCTTGTTCAACTACTTTCAAAAGTTTTCATTTCCTACTGTTACTTTAGCCTGAAAACAGGCCTCTCTCTCTCAAAGTTAGTGCTGCTGCTTTATAGCTTTGTCATGGGTACAAAAAAATGGAAGAAGTAAAAACATATTGTGTTCAGAAAACATATTGTGTCCTCTCATATACATACAATTCTAAGATTTGTAAGAACTAACTTTAAGTCTTACTTTAAACAGGTAGTTTTTAATCTCTTTATAAATCTTTAAACAGGCACTTCCAGAGAGTCAGTACAAACCATCCCTCATTATCTACAAATAAAAGAAATACTTTCAATCAGCGATCAAGAATTTCTCCCGTGTCATGTGATGGCTCAGCATTGGAAGTTCTATATGGAGTGTGAGGAACTAACATTCTAAAGGCTTGTTTTCTTAATCATTAGGCTTTTGTTCATATGTTCATGTTCTTTTCTTACTTTGGTGGGTCTATGTTAGCATATAGTTTATGTGTTAATTATTGAAAATTTCTGTTTACTGTCATAAAAATATGATTTTTGACATTGAAATAAAGGCATTATGGATTAAACCATGTTGGCTGTCTTGCTTTCTTTTTACTAATACAGACTTTAAAATAACTTCTTGTCCAACAATCAGTTGGAAAAAAGCTACCTTGCTCTTGTTCTTCCCAGTAGGAAGCCTAAGAAATTCAAGATATTTGCAAAAGGTTTTACCTATTGTGAGTTCTGATGAAATCTTTAAACTTCTGACCCTTAGCCATAGATGGGACTGTCTAATAAGCCATAGATAAGAATGTCTAGTAAACCAATCTTCTATTTGATACATTTATTCTTACCTGTGCCTTTGTAGACTATGTGCAACACCAGTCCTAGCACATTCTTTTACAGAAGTTCATTCTCTTTAGTATATATGTGACACACTTCTGCCAATTTATTCTTAAGTATGTTGCTTTCCTGCTGCTGTAAGAGTAAGATCTAGGCCCAGCATTCAGGTTTCTTGCTGTCGTCCTAATATAATCATTTAACTTCATCTTGATGATCCTAACTTTTACACTTCTTTTTTTTTCCATCTTAGGAGCTGAAATGTCCCCCAAAATTTGTGTGTTCAATTTCCAGCCTTCCATACCTCTGACTATAACTGTATTTGAATATAGGGCCCTAGCAGAATTTATTAAGTTAAAACGAAGCCAGAAAGGTAGTTCCTGATCCAGCCAGTGTCCTTATAATAGGAAACTTGGACACAAGTACAGAGATGAATGGATACAGCAAAAAGGCAGCCACCTAACAAGGCAAGGGAGTGGCCGCAGAACAGAGTCAGCCATGACCTGAACTTTGACCTTAGACTTTATGCCCCCAGAATTAAGAGATACACTTGTTTGAAGTCACCAGTAGTTGTAATACCCAGTCTAGTTTTTGTTATCACGGCCCTAGAAAACTAATAACAATTCCAAACTCCTCCCTCCTTGTTTATGCTGTTTTTCCAGCTTTTAACATTCCTTTTCCTCTCTGCCTATGTTTTCATTATTCTTTGAGGCCATATATTGCTTATTCAAGCCATCCAATCCAGTCACCTAACATTAATTGCCTGCTATTATTAGCTTTCATGGTTTTTCTCCCATAAACATCTGGAAAGCTTGAAATTGTGTTCATGATGTTGTACTTTATAGTTTCTATAAAATATTGTGAACATTGATTCTTAAGCGATACTGGTCAGTTAGGACACTTTGAGGTAAAATAACAGAAAATCCTCATGAAAATGGATTAAGCAATAAGGGATCTTTATTTAAAAATCCAGAGGTAGGAACTAGTTAATGCTTCAACTAAATAATATCATTATTGTTTCTTTCTTCCAGCTTCCTTCATAATAAAGATGACTCTGCTATTACAGGTAAGTGCACATGTAGAAACACTTCTAGTAGAAGAAGATAGATATTTTTCTTCCAATGTACTTCTTGAAAAAAAAAACTTTCCTAAACACCCCTAACCCACAAGAAGCCAGAATTGAATCTCCTGCCATTTTTTAATCTGTCATTAGCCAGAGAAGTGATAGTACCTTGAAATGGCTTTGAGAAGGGTATATATATATATATATATATATATATATATATATATATATATATATATATATATATATATGTATATGTATATATATACACACATATATATATGGAATATAGGACTTGCTAGGCTAGTGTTCTACCACTTGAGCCACAAACCCAACCCTTTTGCTTTCAGTTTGTCTTCTGATAGCATCTCATACTTTTGCCATAGTTGGCCTCAGATCGTGATCATCCTACCTCTACCTCTTGAGTAGCTGGGATTACAGGCACATACTACCATTTCCAGCCAAAAGTTAGTATTTTTGAGCACTCAGTGTATTCCAGGCATTGTTGTAAGCACTTTGATGTGCTAACTCAAGTAATCCTAACCATGCCCTATGAGGTAGGAAATATTCTCATTTTATTGATGAGGAAACTAAAGTGTAGGATAAATAACTTGCTTCAAAGTCACATAGCTACCAAGTGGTAGAGTTGGAGATCAAATCTGGTGATTGGATTTTAAGTTTATCATAGGCACTATGTATTATTTTTCTCACCCAAAGATTGCTTGGCTCCAAATATATGGGAATGACTAGAAGAGTGTTGAAACATTCTGAGATGATGACACTGTGGCTCCTTCAGTTTACCTGTTCTAATGGGCTTAGTATGTTCATGGTATTGGGCGACCAGGGCCAGACAGGTATTCTTTAGTAAAGAAATGGGATTTAACTGTCCAACGGTTGAGTTCTAATACGAACATGTTGCTGTGTTTCTATTTACAGACTTCTGAAATTCAATTTGTAAGTGGAACTACCCCTTTATTTTTGCCAGTCCTGGGGCTTGAACTCAGCGCCTGGGCACGGTCCCTGAGCTTCTTTTGCTCAAAGATAGCATTCTACCACTTAAGCCACAGCACCACTTCTGGCTTTTTCTGCTTATGTGGTAATGAGGAATCACACCCAGGGCTTACTGCATGCTGGGCAAGCAGTCTACCACTAAGCCACATTTCCAGCGATATCCCATTGTTTTTACTGTATATATATACGTTTTATATATATATATATATATATATATATATATATATATATGCCCTTAGAGCCTGTATTTCAAAGGATTTGGATTCTGTTGAAGGCTAATAGCATTTAACCTCCACACCTGTTTCTCAGATTCTTCTCCCTCTCATCCCATATTTGTTCTGAGAAACATATCTTAAACATTTAAAAGACAAAGAATGTGGTTTCTTCTTAAACTATATTTTCTGTGTCTCTTAAAGGAGCAGAATTTGAGGCAATGCCAAATCAGTTTATCATGGACCTAATTTAATCCCAAGTATAGGATTCATAGCTAATCTCTAATTTCCTTGGACATATTTGCAAATTCATAATCTCTCATTTTAGCTACTTTGTAGGGTTCTAAGGCAGAATCAGTGGATACAAACATTTGAAGCTATAATGCTAGTGCTGCTTCTTAGAGAGGGAAACTCAGGTAACATTTGTTTTTAGCTGTTTACAAGCTGTCTTAAAGTTCCATGACGTATGACAGTTTGGCTGAGATATGAACTTGCTTGAGTCCTTCAACGTTGGAGGCAAGGAAGTGGTAAAAGCAAGCTGCCAAGCTGGTGGGTGAGCCTTGCCAGTTACCTAAGCATCGCCTTCTTATTTTCTGTTCATTATTGCCTACACTGTAACTGTCATGAAATAATGCAACAGAACAAACCAAAAACTGGATTTTTTTGGTGTAAAAATGGCCCCCAAATACTGAGGGAAATGAAAAGGTTCAAGAATATGTTGACTCTTAACCAGAGGTAGGGTTATGCTTAATTTACAAAAAAGAGACCACAGCCAAATTTAGAAGAGTCCAGCTCTGTGCTGCAAATAACTTTCTATGGGATAGTGTAGGCCCAGAAAACCCTAGCCTGTAGAACTATGGGCCTTCTTTTTCCTTAGAAGCCAAATGGTATGACGTGAGATTCTCTTTATGTACAGGGCAACCTCTCATAGCCCCCTGCTATAGGTTCTTCCACCCATCTCTCTACCCTTGCCAAGAAGGAACTCATGTTCCCCCACCACAGCTGTTTCTCTATAAAAGTTTCCTTTAGCATGCCATCAACTTAGGCCTTGGGTCCTTGGGTCTCAGCCACTAGTGAGTGCTGTCACTACCTCCTAGCTTTCTGCCTCATGTCACCTCACCCTACCTGGTCATTTTCCCACAGAATCCTCCTCCCCAGCTGTGTGGAATAGGCCTTACTCGCAGCCAGCTTGATGGTAAAGGCGAAAGATTTCAAGCACACCACAGCAAATAATGTAAAATGATTGTACAGGACCTCCACCACAGAATTTCTCCTTTGTCTCTTCCAGACCTGCCTTTGGTTAATGAAGCAGGATAAGAGAAGGGTGTGAGTGTAGGCAACAGGCCCAATCTGGGCCCACCCCAGTGATTCTAATTTCACTTGTCTGTATGTCAGCAGTTTTTAATCTTTCCAAATGATTCCATCTACTTTCACTTGACTTTTCTCGCCCACCCTCAATCACTAAATTAATTCCATGTTTCCTGAACTGCCTCACTAAATTGAGTTACTGGTACCTCCTTAAAATATAGATTCCTAAGCTCTTTTCCAGCCTTACTGAATCAAAATCCTCTAGAAAAAAAAATTGGGGCAAGTTCCTAGATGAATTTTCTAATGCAAATATGGGAAACAAGACATGAGTTCAAGTCTTTTTTCCCCTTTTACATATGTGCATATCTATGAGAATTGTTATGCTACTTTGATTCGTATATACAAGGTTTAATCAAATTAGGATAATTAGCATTTCCTCATAATTTGTGTTGGAAACCTTCCCGCCTTTTTATATTTTTTATAAAATATGTAATAAATTGTTACAAACTCTAGTTAACCAGCGGTGATATATAATACTAGAATTTATTCCTCCTATCTAATTGTATTGTGGTGATGCTTCCAATCTCTCTCGCATTCCTCCTTCCCCTTCCTAACTTCTAGTGGCCACTCTTCTACTCTCTACTTTGAAATCAATAATCCAAGTCATCAGTCTTGTTTTCAGTTGATTAATGTGTATTTTCTTCATTCGTTCATTTCAGAAATATTTAATGAGCACGTAATATGTACCAGCATTGTTTTCTGTGCTAGGAATACACCAGAGAATAAGACAATATTCATGTCCTCATGGAGCCAAAACTTTAATTTCAGATAGAGAAAAGTGTCTGTGAAAAGACAAAATTACAAAAAAAAAAAATAGTTTTGCAGGTTTTTTTGAGATGGGGGTCTTATTGCATAACCCATACTGGCCTCAAACTCAGTATCGTTTTGCATTTGACTCCCAAGTGTTGCAATAACAAATGTTCACCATTATTCCAACCTAGTTTTGAAGATCTCAGTTACCTTTTACTTGATATTCTAGAACCACGTAACGGTGTAGGTCAAAAATGGTTCAGTATGCTGCCACCTACCATATGTGCAAGTTACAGACAAAGGAAAGGAATGATGCAGAAAAGTG